ATGTCGTTGATTACTTAAATGGGCCAAGCCCAATGGAATAATTTCTAATCCCAATGGATAATTTCTAATGGGCCGGGATGAGACTACGACACGTTGCCTCCTCCCCCGGAAACCAATCCCGTCGCGGTGGAGGTTCTTTTCCATGGCGATCATGGCCGTAGCTGCTCTCTTCGACGCTAGATTCCCTCTTCTCATCCGTCGCAGTTTCATTTCTTCTCCGTCGACTCCGTCTTCTGTTAGTTACTATCACAGAACTATTCTATCCGATGGATTCAGCTACCGACTACGTTCGATTCTCCGTTATTCAACTTCCAACGGCAACGGCGGAAGCGTCAGTGGTGGTGGCAACGGCGTTAACGATTCCGGTAGCGTTGTGGCGGTCGTTCAGAGTCCCAATTACTTGAATTTCAGCGATGAAGAATTGATGAAGCAATGCAAATTTGAGACGTTTAGAGTTTCAGGACCCGGAGGACAACACCGGAATAAGCGAGATTCAGCTGTTCGACTTAAACATCTCCCTACCGGAATCGTAGCTCAAGCCGTCGAAGACCGTTCACAGCACAAGAATCGCGCTTCTGCTCTTAACCGGCTTCGCACTCTTCTCGCCATTAAAGGTCTCAATTCTCTCTTGTCTCCGATTTCATTATTTCAAACTGTAACTTATCAACTTGCTTCTGATTGCTTTTCCAGTGAGGAACAAAGTGGACATTGATGCTTATTCTCCTCCTCCGGAGCTTCTTCAGATACTACCTCCCAAGTCCACTATCAGAACTTCTTCTGGTTCACAGATTGGTCCCAACAATCCTAAATTTGTACCTGTATGACGATTCTCTTTCTCGCTTTACCTGCAACTCACATCTCTTCCTTTTACTCAACTACACACTTCTCTTTTACAGGGAATGCAAGCTTTGCTTGACGTTATCTCTGCTTGTGACGGTTCTGTCTCTGATTCTGCTAAATTGCTGGGGTTGCAAATCCTTCTTGATCCTGTAATTCACTGGAATAAAATGTAGTGTCTTTTGCCTAACTTTGAGTCACCTTACTATTTTGTTTTTGCAGATTGAGCACTGGTGGCTTATCTCGTTTGATACTCTCCCATGATGGTCTTCGTATGGCGGTCAATAGCATGAGGGCAGCTAAGGTACTATTTATTCTTTTACCAATCCAAAAATTCTCTTTTTTCAGGATTATGCCAATAAGCTAGTCATAGCGCAAAATGTGTCGCTTTTTTTTCATTGAAAGATCCTGGCTTTCTAAATTCTTTAGACACTTATCTTGGGATGAAGCATTCTGAAACTATGTTCTTATGGTTCTGCCTCCTGGAAACAAGTCTGTATGTAGATGTGTTATTTAATACACGCTTGTCGTGGGTCACAGCTTCCTCCTTTCTTCTAGAGTTACTTAGCTATACCTGGTTTGGTGGTTGTAGCATTGTTTTCTAGGTTTGATTTCACACTTCAGTAGCTGTTGCTTACTTTAGTATATCATCACTGTTATTCTAACTTTCAACATGTTAACTAGTTTCTGAAGTAAAGAACCTTTTTTTTTTTTCTGGGCCTTCAGGGAATGAAGCCTCTCAAATAGTTGGGATTAATCTCCATTTGAATGATAGTATTGGGGCCTTTGACGTGTTGTGTTTTGGTAGCTACTGCGACATTGTGAGTACCATTTCATGCGCCATATTTTTGTATACAAAACAAAGGTGAAATGTTGAGTTCAGTCTAACATCATAAAAACAGTCATGTATTTGAGATGATAGACAATCACAACAAAATATTGGAACCATTTTGGATTAGAAGCTAATAACAAAATGGGAACCATTTTGGATTAGAAGCTAATGATAAACTTGGAGCCATTTTGGCTTAGAAGCTAATAACAAACTTGGAGCCATTTTGGATTAGAAGCTAATAACAAGATTGGAACCATTTTGGATAAGATTTCTTCCTTTTCTGCTTTTTTTTTTCTCTTCATTTAATGAAATCTATCTAGTTGGTGATGTAACTGGAAGTGTCAAATCTGGTAAATTCTTGCATTTCAGAGCTTCATGAATGCCTATCGAGGCTTGTACCTTGCACGATGAAAGTGCATGCAGGCTTCGGTTTCAGTCCATAACTATCATGCCTTAGCTACTAGGGCTTAGTATGCATCATTGCATCTGTTTCTTTTCTTTTTCTGAATATAAGCTACAGTGAGGGTACTTCCACGTATATTACGCACTTAGCATTTTGGTCAATGGAGCAAATGAAAAAAAAACCGGTCATTGCCTGCAGGAATGTTTTCAGGTATATTGGACATTGAAAATAGCAAAAGACATTTGATGCATGAGAATCAGATTCCTATAGAATGTGGTTCTCTTCTTCCCCACACCGGAAAAGAAGTAACTTTTATGGAGTTGACTCTTGAGAGATTTTGTTTATTCATTTTTATCCAGAAAACCTACCAAGATTTGGAGTCTCGTGGGTGCATTCTGACTCACTACTTATATATTTTAAACATGGATATGAATTCTAAAGGTCTGCTCGAGAGAGTGAGATTCCTTGAGAGTGATCAGCGACCATTTACCTTCCCTTTTTATCTCTGGTGTGAATCTTAAGATTCTAACAAATGGATTAGCATATGCAAGTTTCTGCAACTCTTATAGCGATTGATCAGATTTGATAAAAAATCTCATGTTGATGCCATAGCTCTCAAAAGGAAAGCAGAGATATGTTTGTGGATATTCTATTTTAGTCATGATGCTCTTGCAGCATCTCTCTAAAGTGAGTTTGACTTTTATTTGGCCTAAGCTTTATTGATTAATTTTTGCATGGATAATTTCCGTATTTTAAGTTGAAAGAGAAGATCTGATTCCTCACCACTATTTCTTCGCGTTTTATTTCTTTTATTGGTAACTTTCTCATCTTGGCCCTCATGTCTAATTGTATATTCATGTATTTATATAGACTTCACTACAGAAACTCTTGTTATAAGACTTCCAACATCAAATAGTGTCAATTAGTCCTGTAGATATCAATGAGGCTTGATTTATCTGGCAGGCTTCGGCAAGTTCTTGGTCACGCCAAGGATCATGCATCTATTGGCAGAGCTATTGTACAAAACTACAATGAGAAAGGCTTTTTTGACATTGAAGTTGCAGTGGTTCGAGCCACTAGCCATGATGATTGTCCTGTTGATGACAAAACCATGCACGAGATACTCTTCCTTGTCTCTAACACTCCGGGATCAATTCCTTTTCTTGCTGAGCAGATCTCACGCCGTCTAGCCAAGACGAGAGATTGCTTAGTCGCGGGTAAAACTCTGTTGCTCATCCACCGTCTCTTGCGTGGTAGCAGTCGCTGTATCGAGCAGCAATTGCATATTGCACACACCTCTGGTCATCTCCAAATAGGTTGCTGCTGGTTCATGATGAGCTCGGATCCTCCATCCTCTGCTTTTCTGCAGAACTATGTAGCTTATCTCCAAGAGAGAGTTGGATGGATCATCAATCAAGCTGGTAAGCTGGAACCTGTTATGCCTGGTGGCACACAGTTTAGCCGTTACAAAGAGAAATCCATGGATCTGGTGTTCCACATCTTACCAAAGTGCCAGGAGTTCATTGCAAAGGTGTTGAAGTGTTCACCGGTTAATGCCTGTCCTATCAATAACCTGGTCCAAGCAGCTACAGGAAACATCTTGAAAGAGAGTTTCCAAGTTTACATGACCTATTCTGATGGGATAGCCGCGCTGATAAACATGCTCTTTGATCTGTCAAGACCCGCAAGAGATTTAGCTTTCGCAATGTTGAGAAAAGCCTCTCAACAAATTCAAGATCTCCGAGACTTGTATGAAAAGTGCAGAGGATTCCCTGGGATGAGAAGCTTGGATTATCCATCTGTGCAAGCCATTACCATGGATCATATAATTGCACTGGATGAATGCTCAAGCTATACTCCTGCAAGTTCTGTATTGAATAGAAGTGGAGGCAAAAAGGGGTTCGCTGTCTCTACCAATCTAAGAGATCCAAGCACCTGCATTGGACAAAGACAGGAAAAGTGTTGTGCCGGTTTTTCATCTACCAGTCCTTTCTCTTTCCCAGTGGAGACCAAAGTCAGCATGGTCTGGGTTGTTTTCGACAATGAAGATCGTGGAGAATCGGACAAGTCAATAGAGAAATCATATGAATGTTGATCATTCAACTCTACAGAAACTATAAGAAAGTTGTAGAATGAGAGGTAGAGGTCATTGTGTGCGCCATTGATGCTCTCTGCTTCAGGTTTCTTCTTGTTCATTGCACAGCTTTTCCTTCTCTTTTGTTTGAGCAGGGCAGCAAAATCAAGTACTCCAAGAGGAAGGAAACAGTCAGATAAATACCATTTCATTTTTTTTTTTTGTATATTAACATAACACCGATGTATACGTGTGCAAGTGGTGTTCTGCAATTTCCCCAATTACATAAAGATCTCCATAGCCACAATATACTTCTGTTGAAGAAAAACTCATAGCCACCATATATCACAATAGTCTTAGTCTAGCCTGAGTTTCCCAGCTTCAGTCTCCGTACTGAAGTACTGGCTACTGAAAGAAGTTTTGATGGATCACTCGTAGATGCATTCAAAACAATTTTTGTATCCATTGTTCTCAGTCAAAGATTGAACAAAAAAACTTGGAATCCAACAATTAGCAATGTTTCGGTGTAGATGCAGTAATCCAACAGTTCTTGTATTGCATGCTCTGTCCTTTAGATAGAAGTAAAATAAGACAACGCACGTGATAAAGGAATAGGCAATGAAGATCAAAATTTAAAACCATTTTACTCAAAAACAGAGCAATGGTACATTCGTAGTCCCATTATGACAGGGCCTGATTATAATTATTGGCCCAATCTGTATTGGGTCTTCTACTACATCCCAAAATTTACCATGTGCTTAGAACTCACTGGATTGACATGAAGTCACTGTCAAGATTATTAAACAAGGAATAATCCGGTACATTACAGAGACCTAGAACATTCTCAAAGTCACTGTCAAGATTATTAAGTAAGGAATAAAAACAAAAATTAGGTGCAAGAGCGTTCGAGAACATTTCATAATATGATAAGAGGCATCTATATATATATGAGCACCAGAGACTTGGAACTTTAACCATCTTTGAGAAGAGAACGAACAACAAAGGTCAACATTATCATTCCTCCTGCGTACCCAAAGATGACTTTTGTCTTGTTAAGCCTTTTCCTAACAACTCTGTTCCTCGGAAGCATCAAAACAACTCAAGGATCCTTACTATCAGCATTCGACACTCCCGATCTCTGGCGAGATCGGTTACCGGACCCCTTCAGAATCTTAGAGCAAATCCCATCAGGTCTTGAGAGAGATCAGAGTGTGGCTCTGTCTCCAGCGAGAGTGGACTGGAAAGAAACACCAGAAGAGCATGTGATGACGCTCGATGTCCCCGGGATGACAAAGGAAGAGGTGAAGATAGAAGTGGAGGAGAATCGAGTTGTGCGAGTAAGCGGTGAGAGGAAAAGAGAGGAAGAGAAGGAAGGAGATCATTGGCATAGAGTGGAAAGGTCTTATGGCAAGTTCTGGAGACTGTTTAGAATGCCTGACAATGTGGATTTAGACTCTGTCAAAGCCAAACTTGAGAACGGTGTGCTCACCATTAACATCAAAAAGCTTTCCTCAGACAAAACCAAGGCTCCAAGAGTTGTCGACATTTCGGCTGAAGAGGATCAAGCTGGTAAACTCAGTTCTTCTTAGTCCTTAAAAGAGCTCTAGAGCTCTGGTTGAATCCAAATTCGAGTTGGATGTTTGTAAAATCTATGTAATAAAAGTGATAAATCCTATAACAGGTCTTTGTATTGTGTGCTTGTTTATCGATCACTACCAATAAAGCTCAAAGATTATAGAGTACCAATGCTTAGCATAAGAGAGACTTCCCCTTCTCGCCATGTTTAATCCTTGACGACCCTTGGTAAGATAATGGTTTCAGCTGGAATCGCAGAGGAATTGCGAGGCTTACTTTCTTAACAAGCAACATAGTTTTTGCTGGAGTATTACACAATAATTCCTCTCCTTACACTACAACAAAGAGTAAACAACACAATTATACGCTGTACACTGCAGCATAGATTTTGTATTCCACAAACAAAAGTGTAAGTTGTGGAGAGATCATACCTTGTTGTACAACGGATGCTTAATAACTGTAAAAATCCTGGTGCCTCTCTGAAGCCATATCCAGTGTAAAGCAACTATTTTGCAGGAAGCTTGCAATTAGTAAGTAGAGTGAAACTTAGCCAGGTTACTGGGGATAGCTATGACCTTACTCAAGTGTCAGAAAGAAATCAAACTGTCAAGTATCATATATATTTCCTCGGTCTTTGGATGTGATTTGTCAAGAGAATAGAACTGATGGACCTTGGTATCGATCTCAATCCAACTACAGCCTGGGGTTTTATAAGCATTTTGGTGTTTGATCATCTTTCTAGCTCTGCGTACCTCGTCCCAATTACCCATCTCTCCATATAAATTTGCCATCATCGCAACATAACCTCCATTATTAGGACTTAAAGCAACCAGATTCTTCACAGCAACTTCAGCCAAATCTAAATGCCCATATTTCTTACAAGCATTGAGCAATGATCCCCAGATCGCCTCATCCGCTTTCATCTTCATCCTGGCCATAACTTCCAGAGCTTCATCAAACCGACCTGCTCTGCCTAGAAGATCTATTAGGCAACCGTAGTGTTCGATCCTTGGCTCAATACCAAATCTGTTTGTCATAAGGTCGAAATAAGCACGGCCTTCTGATACCAAACCCCCATGAGTACATGCATTGAGAAGACCAATAAAGGTAATGTGGTCTGGTTTTATATCGTTGCTGTTCAACGTCGTCATCTGCTCAAACACTGTTATGGCTTCTTCGCTTCTACCATGTAGGGCAAAGCAATTAATCATTGAATTCCAAGCTGTTAAGCTTTTCTTGGAGTTCATCTTGAAAACAGAGGTTGCTTCCACCAAGTTGCCACATTTTCCATACAAATCGACCAAGGAATTCAAAACGAACATATCAGAAGTAAGAGAGCGACGGTATGCAAAGGCATGAATCCCTTTTGCCAGCTGAAGCATCCCAGTTTGAGCACAAGCAGAGAGGACACAAACTAAGGTTACCTCGTTAGGACAAGTATCAGGCTCATTGATCATCTTTCTAAACAGAGAAATAGCTTCAACAAAAAGACCGTTCTGTGTACAAGCAGCAAGAATAGCGTTCCAGGAGGGAACATCACGCTCAGGCATTTCGTCAAAGAGAGCAACTGCATTAGAGATATCACCAGACCTAGCATACCCAGAAAGCATAGCAGTCCAAGAGACAACGTTTCTCTCAGACATTTCGTCGAACAGTTGTCTTGCAAAACGAATGTGAGAAACAGAAGATGCGTAGGAGTGAAGCAGAGCAGTTTGAACAACGACGTTGAGATGAAACCCGGATTTAAACAAGTGTGAATGCACCAAAGGAGTGGAGAACGGAGTAGAGAGATGTGGAGTAGCTTTAAGGACAAGTGGGTAGATGAAGTGATTAGGACGAGGAAACGAGCGATCGATCATGAGTC